ATACATATATATACACATATACATATACATATACATACATATATATACACATATACATATACATACATATATATACACATATACATATACATATACATACATATACACATATACATATACATACATATATATACACATATATACACACACACATGTATATATATATATATATACATACATACATACACACACACACACACACACACACACACACATACATGAATCAACATGTAAGAGAACAGATGCAGAAATGCTGAGAAAATGCCTCCTGATGCAGGAATGTACTGTTCTTAAAGAAATACTTCACCTGTCTGTAGGTTTAAAAGGTGGCTCTGAGAAGTTTTTAGCTTGCTCCTTTGGAGGACGCTGTCAGTTTGGATTCAACTGTGAATGAAAGTCAGAAACCTCCTGCAGCATAATCCACCTCCCTGCTGTTGATCTGTATGATTCATAGCTAAAGACCTCCGTGTCATCTATTGCTTCCTCCTGCTCAAGTGTTATTATTATATTATTTTTCAATTTCTATGGAGTTTTTTTGTGTGTGACTGTGAGTCTCAGTTGGAATCCAAGCTGGCTGGGACTTCCCTCCATGAGGAAGCAGTAAACGTGTGTTAGCCACTTTTCAAACCTGATTATTCAAGACTCAACCTAAAGGTGAGTATTTATTAATCAAAAGATGGATTTTCTTTTGGGAAATAATCATTCAATAGTAATCAACCAACCAGCAATGTTTCCCGCCCCTCCAGTGGGCACCACCACCTCCAGCTCAGGCAGGTCTCCATCAGCCTCTGCCTGCTCCATACCACTGAGCTCCAGATAAGCATAGATGAAGTGGGCGAGCTGGATCATGACTCTAGACCAGTTGAGTGAGTTGAGGCTCATGAGACCGTGAGACCTGACCAGATCCTGGTCTGCAAAGAGACGCCGCAGGGGTCGATCTATGTCATCTGAGCTGCCGTGGGCTACAGAGGTAAAAACACACGTCATCTCATTGTGATTGATTGTGAAAGAGCAGCTATTAGTCCTTTAGCTTCTTTGGATTTACCAGCAAACACATGGACATTATCGTCCAGGCAGGTGATCATGTGTTTCTCTTGGACTGGCGTGATGCGTCTTTGGGGGTAAACCACCACCACGTCCAACCCACTGAGACCTTTGGCACTCTGGATGGCCGAGCCACCTGTGTCTCCTGATGTACCTGGAGAGGAAACCCACAAGCTGACTGATTCAGTTTTATTACATTTATCATCTAACATACTAGCTGTGATATTTAGTATAGTCTTAGGGAGCATAATTGTGCTTGTTAATGCCATGATAATCACAGTGATGGTTGTCGTGTAAAGCATCTTTACCTTCACCTCACTGCTGATTAACATTAAGCTTCCTTCTCACACTAAACCATCCCAAGTACAAAACACTTTTTTTTGACATACATCATGGCTTGCAAACAGTTTGATGCCCCACATTACTTTACTACAACAAATTTCAGAATTCCATTCAGCACCACAGACATCCACTATCGAAATAGTTCTCACATTTTCGCACCGGCCACTGTAGTTCTGCTACACCCTTGGCACAATTAGGAAGTTTCAGTTGATTGCAATCTGCAACCTCACCACTAGATGCCACCAAATCCTACAAACTGCATCTTTAAGTACTGCTTTATGAAACATGTGTAAAAACACATTCCTAGAAGCAGAACACTACATCTATGATGTCTAGAATACTGTATTTCCAGCACCTGACTAAAAATAGAAAAATGGCTAAATCTTTTGCTCTTCGTCCTTTTTTCAGTTTGCAAACAACAAAACTGTGAATGTTTACATTCAAGTGACATAGACTTAATAAGTAGGACTGTTATCCCTTGGGAGCAAAGGAGGAAGTCAAGGGATGGTTGTGACGGCTCGTTTGGACGCTGGTTAATTTCACTTCCTGTTGTATTTGCTCACCCATTGATTTACTTTGCCATTGTTTAGATTCCCGCCTGTTTTGTTCCTCACCTGTGTTCCATTAACTCATCAGACCTCCCAGTACTTATACCCCCAGCTGTTCACTACCCATTGACCAGATTGTCTCAGCTCTTTGCACAGGACTAGGTCTCCAGCATGTGTTTCTTTCCATAGATTTACCTCAGCCTGTTTTGGGATTTTTGGGTTGTAGCCTGCTTCTTTGTTTGCCTTTATTAGTGAGCTCTTTAAGTTTTTTATATATGCCTTTTTTTGTTTGCAGCATGACTATCCTGATGACTGCCTATTTTGCCTTTTGTGTCTCAAAGCTCAGTAAAATTTTGGATTTGTGCATTTCACTTCATTCTTGTGTGATCCTTGCAACTGAGTTGTTTGTCTGATCCTCCCAATGGTACTGTAGAGCCAGAAACTCCTGGCTCCCATGTAGGAAGCACAGAGGTTCGCTTCCTGTTTCCTACCGACAGTCAACTTTACAACATCAATGTCACTATGATGACGAATGTCCAGTAACCTTAACCAAGTCGGCCTTTTAATCTTTCCCTTAAACTTTTGTACCTAACCACATCAGAAAATGTTTTTTTCTTGAAACAGTGTTTTTGAAGGCACTGACAAGTGATGTCCTATCGATAGTGGCATCAGATCAGAAAATGCTTACATTTTTTAATAGATTTGTGAAATTAAGTTTCTGAAGGATACTATAGGGTATGATGTATTATTAATAGTGCTGGGCAACAATTACAATTTAATCACAATGATTAATCGCATGATCTTTCTGCGATTAATCGCATTGTTATGCGCAAAATTCAATAATGAATTCAAAAGTAATGTATTGCACACTTAATAACATTTGGTTTGCAAACACTTTAAACAAATCAGGTTCTTTTTAACAGCAGTATTCTCTTTACACAGCAGCAGTTATAATACAGTTATAATGATTCTGATAATAGATATTCAGCCAGTGTTCACAACTTTATCTTCATGTGTGTAAGAGATGCAATTTGAAATATATTTCTTGAAAACTGCAAACCTATCTACGTCATGTTTTTAGGTTTGTTAAAGTCTCAGTAGCGATAACTAAATGATGCTTATTATACATATTACAAACAAAACACTTTAAAAACTCTAAAACAATAATTTAAATGAATCATTTCTTTTTTTCTTCTTTTGGTATTTTGGTCAGACACATGTGCAACGCTGATTACCGTAATATGTGTGGCATTTGTTATAAATGTACGTTGGTACATAGAGGGTGATAAGAAGCTGTACATGGAGGGACTTAGGACCCAGGGGAACGTGCATGTGGAAGTTATGTTAATAAAGAGTTGCAGTTAAGAGCAGCTTGTTCTCACGTGCTTATATGTTCATTTAAAAACACGACAACATGTATTTTGATATTGTCACGATCCTGTAACGAGACAATCGCGCGTGCATGTGTGTGGTGTGTGGTGTGTGTGCGTGCGACAGGAGGGGCCGACGGTTCCGGACCGGGCGTGTCACCCGGTGGGGAGGGCGACAGCAGAAGGAAGTGACGCCACACAAACACAGCTGTTCACCGCTCGCTGCCCGGTTCTTGTGTTAAAAATGTCTGCATAATAATAAAAAAAAAAAAACTGCATTAATGCGCGATAAAATAATTGTCGCCGTTAATTAATTAATTAATTAACGCGATAATAACGCGTTAACTTGCCTAGCACTAATTATTAAACATTATTTATAATTGTTTTGTTTGAGATTTTGACTTGAGCTGAAACTGAAAGTTGTGGGAGATGAGGGGTGATGGGAGTAGAAGATTAAGTTAAGAATCCTTTAATTAAGCACATAGTAAATCATATCTGGCAGAAATTCTCATGTGACATGATAAAGCCGACCAATTATCTTACTTCATCCTGGTTCATGGATGACCGCCAGAATTCTCTCTATGACACCGGAACTTATACCCAGCTGGGGTCATTCGAGGTCACACGTGACTTTGTTGATATAAAGACTCGACCTGCGAGTGCGCGAGACGGAAGATATCTAGTGTGGAGCACTGCTTCTGGTGGTCCCCAGTTACATCCGTAAACCTTCATTTCATCACATAACATTATCGTGGTTGGGTCTTACCTACAAGAACTGTAGCTCTGCGATTCTGTTTTCGCAGGAAATAGTTCAGGAAGCGCACTGTGCAGGTCATGGCCAGGTCCTTAAAGGACAAGGTGTCTCCATGGAAGAGCTCCAGGACTGAGAGACCCTCCTTCAGCCGGGCAATTCTCAACACCTCAGGCACTGAGAAACCAGTCAGGGCTTCACCCACAAGGCCTGGGACAGGAAAAAAGAACCAAAGAGAAGAAATCATTTGAAGCTCTGGTTTTGTTATTCTGAAAATCAAAATACATATATTTGATGATGTGTCTCGTTAAAAAAAACAACTTATTTTTACTTTATGTCTTCTATTAGTTAACTTTGAAGGACTACACTGATACTGTCTCTTTTTAATTATGTGTACTTTTTAGACCAGTGTATACAGTTTACAATTTGTATATTATTTCCTTTCATATATCTCTATGGAATGCAAACATCCATGAATATCAAATGACATGCCAATGAATATTACTCCATCTCACCCTCCAGGTCCTGTCTGGGGATGAGCTGAGTGGGGATGAACAGTGAGGCAACCTCCACCACCAGTTGGGTGTAGGTCAGCCCCCTCCAGCTCCTCAGGGTGTCTGGGCTCAGCACAGGTACACTCTCGGGCATGAACATGCCACCGTCAGGAGCATATCCTGAAAACAGCACATCATGGAAGTCCCATCCATGGACCCCGCCCCGAGTACTGCAGTACTGCATCAGACAGACCTGTGGATGGAGACCTGACTCTTATATACACATATGCTCAATACTACGGTAAGATATCAATGGCATGCTATTGACATTTATGTGTACTTACCTGCACATCTACATACTGTATTATTCCTTTCATTTCCCAGAATGCATATTTGTCAAACCCTAGGTTTAGCAGTTGCACAAAATGAATATTATCTAAATGATCACCTAATCCAAGATAAGAGTATCTGAGTTTGTAAAAAGCAGACTTTTAAACTCACTCTCTGTTGTTGCATGTCATTCCCCCTCTCTCTCCCTTCATTCAGCTCTACTGACAGTTCTCTATTAAGGCATTACATTCCCAGAGAAACATACAGTCCATGAACAGTGCATCACAAATCCCCTGTTTAAAGAGTTTTCTTCACACTACATGGTGAAGAAAGGTATAACAGCCACTTTAAACCTGCATTCATTGATTGTGTTTCTGACCACCTGATCAAGGCTGGATTACCAACTGGGCAACTGTCCCCGCAGCCTCGGAGGGCCTGAAAGACCTGGACTCACTGCTTGTACATTGGTTTTGGTAATTTGATTAACTGCGAGTTTGTTAGAGTAGTTGCACTACTACTTAAGTACAATATTATTTAATGCCGGTCCTGCATTTATAGCCAACTTTGGGGCCATGCCTAGTACACAAACACTGTGTCACATGACATCGATCACACTCCTGATAGAGGATTCTTCCTCTTTTCTCCGTTAAAGGTTTTTTATAATCCAACACAATCCACACAAATGATGTGTTATTCTAGCACAACAGTATTTATTGTAACTACATTACTTAAGTGCTGTTCTTGAATACTCACATTGTATGCTACTTTCCAATACTACGCCACTACATTTCAGAGGGAAAAAAGCAAGTGATTTTTACTCCACTATATTTGATATTACAGCTATAGTTGGTAGTCACTTTTCAGAAGAAGATTTTTGAAGATATGATGATCTTATAAGCATTTGCTTTTGTCTGGTTGGAGCCTCTTCTTGTCACATTTTACATGTCTTTGATTTGTTAGCAGTTCAACCAAAACACATTTCCCACTGGAAAAAACCTAACTGTATAAAAGGCAGTAAAAACTACTGTCAAAACATGTACGAGTAAAAAAACCATTTAGCATGTCCTGCTGTGTGTTGAGAGTTTGAATTCAAAATGGTGGCCAGTGCTGAAAAAACCTTGACGCTATTCATGATGAACTGCAATTTAAATAGTTCTGTTATTTCTAAAAAAGAACCACTACATGTAAAGATCACAGCAGAACATGGTTTACAATTTTAAAAGATCTGTTTCATAAAGGTTCAAAGTATATAAATGTAGAACTTTGTAACTCTGTCCATTAGTGCTTTAAAGCATGCTGTAGCATGCACGAGGTCTGTGCCATAGTAGCAATGTGATATTGTAGATATGTCATCTGACAGCAATGGCCCGTTACATAATCACAGCTCAAAACAGTAAATGAACATTCAGCACTGTTCACACGTCCCTTTACTAGAGCCCATGACTCATGTTAGCTATCACACCAGCTGTGTGCACAGACACACAATACACAGAGCATGTGCAGAACTTACCAGTCAAATGGATGTAAACAGAACTCCTTCATGTACACATACACTTCCTGCCAGTCTATGCTGCCACACTTTCTACACTGAGAAGAATGGACCTATTGACAAGCTGTTGGCCGTCTCAGGGGAGATACCAGTTGAACTTGACCTTTGGAACAACCTACCAAGGAAATACTTCCTGACTAATGAAGCATCGCGTTGATTCATGCAGAACAGTCATACGACCCCAGCTGCAGCTGACAATCAGCCGATTGAATCATTGCTTCTCACACACCAATCACACGACAGCCGGTGCGCTCTCTGTTGACGTCATGCCGCAGAGAACGCTGGGAACTGCAGTCCCAGCAGCTCCAACTGGCGTGCCATTCCTTCCTCCTGCAGCTGCAATTTCTCCTCAGCTAAGGAATCAAATCCTCGCTGGTAATGACGTTAATTTGATTAAAATGCTGCTGTGTTCAACCGTGCTGCCACACTCGTCTCGTGTCAAGAAGTGAATAAACCATACACCTGTCAACAACTCAGAACTTGGCAAAAACTGGAAGCATCCAATCGTTGTTTTGTTAATTATTTAATTACTGGTCTAGTTTGAGGTTTTCTTGCTGACTTAAGTTTTCTTCCAAAAGTATCCCATGTCTCAAACTCTGCTCTGAAGAACCAGAGGTATTGGCCAAATAAATGACAAAGGGCTACGTGACTAGGCCTTATGGTAGTCCTTCACATTCCATATAAATGCATAGGTATAGCTTTTCAAAAATACTTTATAAAAATAAAATAAAGGGTCTGATAATATACTCCCAGCCACTCATGATGATAATGCTCCAAGTATTAATGACTCTATTCATGTCATGCCATCGCAGTGGCACCTTTTCAGCGCCAAATGGCAAGAACCTTTGGCTGTCGTAGTACCCCCCCCCTCCTGTATATTCAATACCCTTTCTGAAGCACTTTGTTGGATATTGTTGAATAACTGCAAATTGCATTTGTTCTTCGCCTATTGGATGACTTTCTAGTAGTGGATTTACAGTCTCAAACAGGCCGATGCATTAGTGCACTCAAGCATACTTAAAGCAATTGGGTGTTCCTCCTGCAGCGAAACCTCACGGCCACTGAAAGCGATAACATTTTGTAGGCATCACAATAGACAGCGATCATACACACTGCCTCTCAAGGACAACAAAACAAAACAACCGACTTCTGACATGCTTGCATCAGAGGAAGGTAATATTTTATCCGTCGAGTCCAAAAGAGGTTTGAAATGTATTGTACTTGTCTCCATCTGCACTGGACATATCTTCCCTTTGGAACAATCCAGGTGGGAGAACAGGTTGCAGCTTGAGCTGCAATAAATGATTTGGTGTTAGGGGTCCAGGTCATCTGGGTCACTTGAAGCTGTTGTTGGAGGGCTTCTCTCAATTCTTTCAGATCGAGGCCGTTGTGTGATCTAATATAATAATCACATGCCCTCTCCTGCAAATGATTCACTGAATGAACAAACTGGTGTCAAGGGAGACATCACTTCTATTGGACCGTAGCAGTCTACACCAACAAGTGTGACGGGAGGTAACCCAGGTGTTAGATGGTCTCTGGGTAAATGTGTCAAACAGCTGAGTGGAGGTGTCTGCATGTTACACACACTGATATCAGCTTTCAAGCAAAGCAGTCTGCCCAAGGGAACCAGTACTTCTGTCTGAAGTGAGATCAAAATGAATCCTCATTAGTTATGGTTGTGCTTCGGCAGGATTACTGGATGTTTGTTTTCCTCAGTTTCCTGTTTCTGTGTCACATGGGTTTCCCCACTGCCCTGCCCCTCTAGAGGACTACAGCAGGTCCCGAGTCTAGTCACTCCAATGGGCAAAGAGAACAGAACACAGATTATGACCTTACCTCAAATGGTCAGTGGCTCGACTGTGGGCGGGACTTATTTAATTCACAGTTTAACATTACTAAAGATGGCTCTTCAGGGCCACCTCCTCAATAACGTTACGTACAACATGAGCTCCTCATACCTGGTGAAGCTAAATAGAATGCAGTATTATTAACTGCAAAAAAAGAAACGAGGAGGAGGAGGTTCTTCACTCAGGTCATCTGAGATGTGTTTTCATTACTTACGACTGTAATGGTGTGTCAAAATGTTGATGCAAAACTAATTACACAGTTTAAAGAGGACTCCATTCCAGTACTGGTGCAACTAAAATCAGCCTTCTCTGTAAAAGCAACACACCAGTGGAACCCCTGCCTGAAGGTGTGAGGAGCTGCAGCTCTATTAGCACTTTTAAAGCCAACTTAAAAAGTCTTTTAAAAACTGCACAACACTGCACACACTGACCTCTATTCTTGTGGTCTTTTCTGACTTGATTTTATTGACACACATTCATTTTTGATGTGCTATTTGTGTGTAGCGTTGTATTGGGTGTCTTGTATGTTTTTATGGTATATCTCTGTATTATGTCTTTTCCTTTTACTGTGTTATTGTCTTGTCCTTGTTTGACCTGCCAAGGGACTGCAGATGCTAATTAGCTTAAGCTACAATCTGGTACAGTGCATCCAATGGAGACATTTATGTTTAAACTGTACATGGTCCCTTTTAAATTAAATAAATAAAAACAATAAGGATTTGGTTCCATTTAGAGGTGTAAATGGAATAGAGCCATTTCGATTACACGGTGTTTGACAATTAATCTGTGCTCTAAGGTCTAAAAACAACTAAAAAGATAAGCAGCATGCACCACACATCACTGTCAATATATTTAAAACCACTCTCAGGTTATTACTGGCCGATTGTGGCTCAGTGTAGAGCGGGTCGTCCTTCACTCAGAGGATCAGTGGTTCGATCCCCGACTCCACTAGTCCATGTTGATGTGTCCTTGGACAAGAGACTTTGCTGTACTGTTGATATGTATGAATGTTACTTGATAACATGAGCAGGTGGCACCTTGCATGAGACCCTGTCAGTGTAAATGGGTGAAAGATGACATGTAGTGTTGAAGCGTTTTGAGTGGTCGTAGGATTAGAAAAACATTATTCAAGTACAGTAAATTTAACGACTGTACTTGAATAACAGCCAATAACTACACCACTGCACAAAGAAAGACTTTTGATACCATCCATTTTAATGCACATCTGCAAACATGTAAAAGCATATATACAAGTCTTATCACAGGAGACGTTACAAAAATGTGCAATTAACTGACATGAGACAAAGAGTAAAGTGAACATCTCTCTCACACACACAGAAATAAATACTAATTAAAAAGGGGAGCATGTGGATGCCATTAATTAGTAACAGTCCCTCAAAGAATATTCACCCAACACTTTTGCGCATGATAAAATATACTTTGAAATAAAAAAAGAGTTTTGGGGTCTTAGAATGTTTGCTCTTTCAATCTGAACTGAATCTTCTGATATAGATATCTAGCTGAAGAACAAGTTTAGTGAGAGGAGACGCTGCACGGAGCAGGAACACGTCTTCTTCGTGCTGGTGACTTATTTTATAATCACATTCAAATCTTCAAATGGTCTTCCAGACATGATGTCTGTCCCACTGAGGCTTAGACCGAGGGATCATTCAGGTTCAGAAAGGTCATCCTTTTAAACAGAGTTATAGATTTATTGTAGAGTTTCAGCCCTGGACTCACCATGGCTCTCCGTGCCTTTAATCCAAAAGCTTCACACAATTTGGAAGAATAGCTTCTTCATGTGCACTTCGGTCACAAATAAATGAGCAGCTTATCAACACCATTTAAAAGCATTGTATGGTTCCATACTGTGCTCAAAGTAAACAGAGCTTCCACACACACACATCTCAACAAAATTAGAGTACATTTCAATAGTGTGTTCTGATCAGAATGCTGAAGTAAGATCTCTGACAGCAGACATAAACAGAAAGAGTTGTTGTGCTCCATCCATTCTGTGAAGAGGGTTCAAAAGGATACATTACAATGTATATGAAGGCTCATATTAGAACATATAAGATGAGTTTCATGCTTGTTCATATTAACGCAGGGAAGCATTACATCATCGGTCTGCATAGAGTTCCTTCATACGAGTATGCTAAAGTATCATCAACATATTTTGAGCTGTTAAACAGCTTCTGAGAGAACGTCTCGTCCGCTTGCCACCAATGAACCCTATTAACATCTTACAGATACACATTTATATCTGAATTATAGTGAAGACATGACCGGCCTGCCACATAGTATGTGCACAACACACAATGTGATCCTCAAAGAACTGTGCTGGTGTTCACACTGACCAGGTCCCTGCTGAACCAAAGGTCACCCTGCACCATGAACGCTGGAGGAGCTAGTAACTCAAAGTTCACCTTTTAGTATCAACTGCAGGTTGGTGTCTGGTGTGAAGCTGCTGACACTGCAATGTTGTTCTGTCGTGCTACCTCAGCTTGCTGTCACTCCGCTGTAACTCTTTAGCTGCATAAGCCCTCAGATAAAAAGGGAAAGAGTTAGAGTTTCATGCTAATCATCAAGTAGAGAGGCTTTAACACTTAACACAGCTTACGCCATTTTCTTCTCTGCTGCATCAAATGCTGCTGGCTAGACAGCAAGATAAGCAATAAGACACATTTGTCCTCAACATACATTTTGTTGAGGCAAGCATCCTAGAACCTTTCCTAGTCCCAGGACACACGCTGCTTCATTCCACTGTCTTGAGCCAACTTTCCATTAGTTAGTCCATAGGTTAGCCCTCAATACATGAGCCATTATGACAGACACAGATGTGTCCAGTCATCCATCACTGGTTCATTGATGTGAGCTGCGTCGACACAACGACAGGACCTGGTGCGTATTTAATCAACAACCTGCAGTCCAGTTCAATGTGGCTCAGGGTTTAACCTCCGTTTGATGTGTTGGATCTGTGATTGTAGCATAGGTCAAGATAATTATGAAATAAATGCTTCTCTCCTCCAACAAACTATCAAATCTCAATTTCTTTGAAACTGACTGAAACATATCCTCAGCACACTGTTTCTTTTATCACATTATTACAATTTAACTCAAAGTTTTGTCAATTCAAGACCATTTTATGGCAAAATTCAAAGTCAGCTTCTTGTGGTTATAAAGACATGTCATGTTTGTTAAAGTGGTATGACGTACGTATTGGTATAAACGTGTTATTATTGGTCAATTTCATACAATACGCAGCAGAATTACTGTCGGCTAGTGACAGCAGAAACCAGCAGCCTTCCAACTAGGAGTTAACTTGCTATGCAATGCATTATAGGAAACAGTCAATGGTCAATCACAGGCAATGACTCGCCATAGACAATAGTAAAAAGTGTTGTAATCAAGCTACTACAGAGCAACTGATGTTCAGTGTGAAAGGCAGCACAATTTCCTCTGATGTTCTTTCAATCGTCTTTAGCTCTGTCAGAGTAACACGACACTACAGAGAATTCATGACATTACATTTCCAACATGTTGAGAAACAATGCTAAAGAAATAATGAGTTTTCAGAAGATGACTAATACATATGTTATTACATATGTAACAGGCCAGGCTCATTACTTCAGACTCACTTGATGCACACAGACACTGTACCCAGAAATACCATCTCCTGCTTCACAGGATTAAACACATACAGACAACTTCTCTTAGATTAAAAACCTTCAACTTTGAAAAATGAAAAAACAAACAGAACAAACATGCACTATAGTTCAACCCATTGAAACATTTGCTCCATCTGACTACGTTCTTGTCTCCGTTGTTAAACCTTTCTGGTACGTTTTCATGACAGACTAAGATCTGTAGTGTAGGACTGATGTGACACATATTGAGTGCAGTCACTATCATCAACAAGTCTCCATGGGAGAGATGGCTGTGAGAGAGGGACCACCACGTACCAAGAGGGGAATAGTCTCAACATGTCCTCAAAGGTTTCACGGTCGTCCCCACTGACCAATCGTCAGACATCGAGATAAAAAGCAGTGTGCTGGGTGTTCCAACATATCTGCCCAAGCTCTTCATTGATCAAGTCCTCCCACGATACATGTGTCACAGGACAATGTTTTGTAATGTTTAAACTCTCACCTTCCACACACGAGCAGAGAAGGCAGAGTAAAGAGAGAACAGGTTAGGAGTTGTCCCGCAGGTCTCTGGCCTTGATCAGGATGGTGTGGACATCTGAGATTGGGTAATCCTGAAAGGAACCGCAGTAAAGAAGAAATAAAATCCTCTTTTCAATAAGAGCATCAGCTGCACTGTGTGTCTAAATATGAAGCCTCCCAGTATATTAGAAAAGCCTTACCTGCAGTAATCTCATATTGACCGTGAAGTCTCCGGCCAGTAACTTATCTCGGATGAGTCTGAACAGAAGAAGTCAACAGAAAGCGGGATTCACATGAAGAGCCAGAGGGGTCAATCAATGCTGGGCAGTACAGGGGTCATAATGTGAAACGCTCACATGAGCATAGCGCAGCAGACCAGGAGGAGGAAGTGGAATCTGTCCAGGTCAGAAAACAGGGTGTCCCAGATGCGGATGACGTCAGGCAGGAGGAACTCCTGAGAGAGCAACAAGGTCAGCCAGCGGAATGTGAAATACTGTGGTTTGATGTTTTGCTCTTCCTGTGTGGACAGAAGAAAAATAAGGACACACTGGGGACATGTCCATATCATTGACCTATTCTTCAACAGGCTCAGTTTGACTCATGTTTCACATTCTCTGGTTCCAGGTTGTCAGATGATTCAGGGTCTGCTGCTTTTCTTGGTCTTCTATGATAGTAAACCATATATAGTTTTCACTGTTTCCTGACAATTTATAGAACAGTTATTTGATTAATCAAGAAAATCATTTACAGATTCATTGAAAAAGAAAGTACTTGTGAGTTGCTGCTCTGATTTACATACATTCACAAGAGAGATTTATGCTACAGAGATGCAAACTGCTCCGGACGCGTATTCAGGAATCCTATGGCTCGTCTCGGCAAGACCCACCCTGCATAGCTGCTTAAGGCAGAGATGATTGGTTAAGGTTAGGCATTGAACTCTAGTAGATAGGGTCAGGATAGCCCATTGGTCAGGACATAGGACCTGAACAAATCAGGTTACCAGTACCTGGGCGAGTATAAATGTCTGGCCAATCTGAGTACTTGAATGCTGCACAGGGTGAGTCTTGTCAGGAATGTTCCTAATAACGTACTCCAGCCACATAGGCCTGGTATGGACATCTACTGTAGCAGAACGGAGAGAAGAGTCGGGAGTGACATGCTCAGTGTGAATCGTTGATTTCTTATAGGAGAGTAGTGTCACACACCCCTCTAGCTCGCTAAAGGGCCATACCAGCTTGAGATAGAGCTCCAGGTCTTTGTCTTTCAGCATGGAGTACACACTCTCCATCTTGTAGGTGATGCCACACTGAGAGTCATCAAGGCTCTTGATGAAGTTGTCTCTGTTCTCTGACATCAGGTTGGTGAAGCAGAAGAACGTATCCGCTTCGGCGTGCTCTGAACAATGAAGCAGACAGCAATCACAAAGGGCTTATTTTCATTTTCTACGAGTCCAACATCTCAATGCCACCGACCTTTCCATTGGCTGTTGGGGTCCGTGGCAAAAGTGTAGTAGATTGGCCCAACAATCTCATTCATGCCCTGTACATAGGCAATCCCAGGGTTGAGTTTGGCATAGATGAAGAGGATCCGCTCCACCACCTCCCAGTGTGCTTCGCTCCCATTGGGCAGCACCTCATACTCATTAGATGGATACAGGTGGAACGCCTTTCCAGGGGAGCTGACCTGGGAGAGCAGATTCAGTTTACCCAAAAGTGGTGCCATTGTTCTGCAAACATTGTTTAATGTTGATCATATGCAGCACATACAGTGTGGACATTGATGTAGGAACAGCAGAGGAGATGTAAAGAAAGACCACATCAGCCGCGATGCGGAGACAAAGTCCTGATGAAATGAAGTAAGAGGACACCAGGGCCTGAACTATGACTACATCGGTAAGTCAACCAGGGTTTGATCTGACTAAGTGGTGGTGTTTAATGCATATGACCAATCACAAACACGGACAAGTCCGCTGTCAGAGCTGCATATTTTACAAACAGAGAGAACATTATAATATTAGATCAACACAAACAAAGACAAGAAACAAGACAAACAGTTTAAACTGCCAAATGCAGGAAGGACAGCTGGTAAAACAAAAACGCTGAATGTGTAAAATAACAGATTTATAATTTCACTGCTTCATCTAGAGCAAGTCTTGTTCTTTCAGCTGGAACCCCGGCGGTGTGAAACAGACTTGGGGAATAAAATAAATATAAGAAGGTTTCCTTCCATTACTCATAATCACCACAGCATCTATTAAAGTAACTAGAGCAAAGTAACACTGCACCCAGTCTGTGACTGTAAGGCCATTGACTGCTCTCACACCAGGCAAACGCCACACACACACACACACACACACACACACACACACACACACACACACACACACAC